TCTTTCTTTCTTTCTTTCTTTCTTTCTTTCTTTCTTTCTTTCTTTCTCTCTCTCTCTTTCTTTCCTTCCTTCCTTCCTTCTTTCTTTCTTTCTTTCTTTCTTCCTTTTTCCTTCCTTCCTTCCTTCCTTCCTTCCTTCCTTCTTTCTTTCTTTTCTTGACATGTACTTATATTATACAACTCAATAGCTAGATGGTTATGAATTTGATACATAACCTCATAATTCTCAATTGCTCATCTCCAAAATGGGCAACATTAATACTTGTATTATTAGGGGAGGTGAGTGCTCTGACTTTTCCACATGATTCAAATAAACTTCTGAAATGAAATAAGTCTAACTTAAGCAGAATAGTATTTTCATTGCTGAGAAATGCCCCCTTATCTCTTTCAGTTCAATAAATGTCAAAAATAAGCAAAAATAATTTAAAATTACAGCACCTTCTAATATAAATAATAAATATTAATTTATTTTACTCCGCTAAAATATAAGTTCCATGAAAGCATGCACTTTTCATGCTTTGTTTATTGTTGTATATCCCTAGTTTAGATAGAATTTCTCAATCCTGACACTGATATCTAGAGCAGGAAAATCCTTTGTCACTTCCAACAATTACTCCCTAGATGACAATAGTAACTTCCCAGTTATAACATGTAAGTATTCAAAATTATGCCAAATATTTTACAGGGTATAAAACCTCTTCTTCTTGAAAATGAATGGCTTAAAATAATGCCTGACACAGAAAAAAAAATCATTAAGCATTTGCTGAATGAAGGTAGTTATATCAAACTAATTAGCATGCCTAAAACATATATAACTGTTTTGGTGTGTAGTAAGTAGTCAAGAAATATTACTAACAACAAATGGGTGTTTTTATTATTGTTGCTGTGTTATTGTCTCCTTCCAGAGTAAGTCTTGGAGGCAACAAAACTATTACATTGAGATTTAGGGTTTGCTACAAACATCTTTTAACCACAATCATTTTATAAAAGCTTCAATACACACGCTCATACTTGCAAGTGTTACTATGTTAAGTAGTACTGATTCATTAACTTGCATTGCCATGTTAACTTGTTTTCATAGAGTCCTCAGAAAGCACCTTCTGCTATTTCAATACATGCACATTGATTTCATATAAATGTGTTCTGATCAGGAAGTCTGTAATTTGGCACTGGTGTTTATTTTTATTCCTGTCTATTCCTGTTGGCTCGTGAAAAAATTGTTGCAGCAAGTATTTTATAGTGAGTTGTATCAAATGTACATTGATTTCATCTCCTCACATTCAGTTGTGGGCCAAAGAATAGAGAAAAACATAATTTTCATTGAACATAAGCCCCTCGGTGCAAGCCAGTCACTTCATCTGGTGCTCAAGCAAAGCAACAACAATCTGTTCCACCTTGGAGGAAGAACTGGCAACAAGAAACTTAGCTAGAGTGCTATGCACAGAACAAATGTATTCTATAGCAGATAATACTGCAAAGCATACAGTCTGAAACCTAAATTATTAACAAAAATAAAGAAGGTCTAAACCAGTGGGAAATGCTCCTATTTCCACATAACTACCAAGAAACCTAAAATTAAGATGTCGGTGCTGTCCAAAGTTGGCCAAAGTGATCTACTTATTTACTACAGCCCTATTCAAACTCCCAGATGACTGTGTGTGTGTGTGTGTGTGTGTGTGTGTGTGTGTGTGTGTGTGTGTGGTAGGGGGGTGTTCATATATTCACATGTGAAAATGTGTGCAAGCCTTGGCACCTTCACTTTTATCTTGTTTCAGAATGAGTCTCTTGATGTTCTGCAGAATAATTTTAATCTAGAACATGGCTGCTCTGGCAAGAGATCACATCCAAAAGACCTTCTAGGTCTGTGTGATTCGGCTGGAGTACAAGCACACCTTTAATCTCAGGAGAGAAAGGCAAGCATATCTCTGAGTTCAAGGCCAGCCTTGTTATAGAGCAAGTTCCAGGTAAAGAAAAGCTAAAATCCAGGTGTGGTGGTACATGCTTTTAATCCTAGCACCTAGGAGTCAAAGGTATGAAGATCTCTAGAGTTCTGTTCAAGCAGTTAGGTTGAGTCAGTGAGTTGAGAGACAACGCAGCAGAGTTGAGTTCATGCCGTTCAGTGCAGGTCGCCAGAGGCACTTGAAGCCAGAGAATAAGAAGGAACCAGAAGATTTGAATTCTAGAGTTAGTTTGAGGCCCAAGTAGAACAAAAAGTCAGAAGCTAAGAGAAGCCAGCTTGAATCAGTCAACTTGGAGAGGAGTTTGAGCCAGAAGAGTTGAAGCAACAGTGAGCTTATTTGGTAGTAAGTCTCAGAGGCTGGAAACGTTCAGGGCCTAGATTAGATTGTTGGGAGGCTAGAAGCTTCCCCAACTAGTCCTAGTGTAGCAAGCAGAGGCAGTAATCCTCTGAGACAATAATTAAATCAGGCAAATAAAAGGTTTACAGTGTTCAGTACTGTGTACCTCATGCTGGCTGGTCTATGAGCTCTTGATATTTTCCTGTCTCTACCGCCAATCTAAATGAAGGATCACTGGGATTATGGTTTTGCTTTTTCCATTCTATCTAACTTTACAGGAGTCCTGGGGATCTTAACTCAGGTCTTCATGGTAGCAAGGCCTGTGCTTTATCCACCAAGTCATCTCCGCATTTCCCTAGCTGACTCGTTCATAGAAATAAATGTTCCTGCCTGGTGTTGCTGGTGTATGCCTTCATTCCTAAGCACTGGAGAGGCAATGCAGGAGGATCTCTGGGAGCAAAAATCCAGCCTGGTGTTCATAATGAGTGACAGGCTAATCAGTGCTACATAATGAGACTGTCTCCGTAAGAAAGAAAAAAGAACAAGAAAAAAAAAAAAAAAACAAAGAAAAAAATTAATGTTCTTATTCTGAAATTCAAAGGATTGGCAAATGAACTAGAATGGGTCTTAAAACAATTCTGAAAAAGAACAATGTAGGAAATTCACACTTTGCATTTTCAAATCCTACAACCAAACACTGGCAATCAAAGGAGTAATGTGTTGTTTAAGGATAGCCACAGCGACTGCAATTAAGGACTCAGAGTTAATGCAATGTGTCTATAGATAATAATTTTTGGAAGAAGTGTCAACACCACTTAGTGGGAAACTATTCTTAACAAAGAGTACTGAACATCAACTAACCACATGAGAAGGGTTGAGGTTGCACTCTCCCTCCTCCAAATTAACTCAAATGGATCAAAGGCATAAATGTAAAACCTAAAACTGAAAAATTGTAAGAAGAAAGCCCATGGGTAAATCAACACCATGTCAGACTTGGCAAATGATTCTCAGACATGAAACTAATATCACATGCAGCAGAGCAGACATAAAGGCCAGATACTTTGCAAAAGCTAAAATCCCTCATACTCCAAAAGACATCATCCAAAAAGTTTCAGACACATGAAGATACACAGAGCAGGGGAGAATATTTTACATACTCTGTCTAATAAGGGGCTAGAATAAAAAAGAAAACACTTTAAACACTATTAATAACACATCATAAAAAGATAACCCTGCTTAAAAACAGGCGAATGATCTCTAATGAAGATATACAAATGGCCAGTTAATCTATTAAAAGATCCCCAACATCAAAAGTCTTCATGGAAATATAAATCAAAGGCATAATATGATAGTACTTCAAGTCCAGTAAGAAAGCTAGACCTCCAAGGTCAAATAACAGTAAGTAGTGCTAAGTTTGAAGAGCAGTATATATGAGTGATAGTGATATAAAGTTGTGTACTTTGCTACACAATCTGGCAAATTCTCCTGTAACTAAATGTAGAGTTACCACATATTGCAGCCAGTCACTTGTAGGTATGTACCCAGAACATGTCTGTAAAAACTTGTTTGCAATGTTGTATAACAGGATCATTCAGAAAAGCCAAGAGGTAGAAAAAAATATATAAAAAACCACTGACTGACAAAGGGATGAACAGATAGATGAATAAAGTCTGTCATATATCCACACCACCCAATATCAATAAATGCCATCAAATAAAGTATGTCTGGTTGCACAAAGGAACACAGTACAACACATCTTTTTGTTTATATCTCTAGAAATGTCAATGGGCAAAACCATAAGAAAAAAGAGGTAGC